AATAAATGCATTAAAAACTATTGAACCTACACGTAAACTCTAAAAAAAAAGAAATTAGATTTTTAGAATGTCTTAACTTTCTTAATGAGTGTTATTGACAATAATTGTTATTCTAAGGAAACAATAGCAATCTATTTATTGAGGCTTATTTCTCCTAAAGGTTCCTGCTTCTTTGCTGGAACAGTGTGTTATTGTAAAAAGGTTCTGACTTGCTCTTCAATTATCTGAGTGAATCTACAGCCTAAAGCAAATATTTACCTTACACCCACAATTAAAAAAATCCCCCAAAACAACAAACAGCTAAAATATAATTCACGCAGAGCCTTACCTAAGAGAAGGAGGTATATTTTGCACTGAAAGACTGCAACCATGCTGCTGAAGGGCTCCATGAAAGCATCCTGTCCCATGCATACAGTGCCCTGTTCTCTGTGGTAACTTGGTACATGGATCAGCAGCTGCTGGTTTATTTGCTAGGGAAATTAGCAGTGAGGTAACAGACCCTATCCTGACTCTTGCTTCTGTGATTTGAATACAGAATGAATGTGTATACAAAGGACACAGGGAGTGGGAACACCTGTTATATGCTTTACAAGGATACAGGGTTATGACTTTCAAAACAGTTTCTTAGCAATTATCAGTAATTGTCTGTATATCTTATAAATTATTCTTAGTTATTAAAAATCACATGAAGGAAAACAAATTTTTGGATGACTTTATTGAAAAAAAGCATGCTTTGCTAAAAAGAATATTGTGAAATTTCCTTAAAAACAAAAGCTGGTTTTCTATCATGCAAAACTATGACATTATTTTGAAATAAAATGTTTTCTATGAAAATTAAAGCAGTTTCTGTATCTGCTAAAGTTATAAATCTTTATGAAGTCACTAACATGTAAAAATTATACCAATGAATCAAATGAATAAAAGTGTGTTTTTCTATTACAAATGACTGCTATGGTTTTTTTGAATCTTTGGATTCATCCTGTTTTTAAAAGCAAATCACAGGTGTGTTTCCAAGCAGGGCTGAAGCATGGACCAGGTATAATTATAATAAAAAGCATATGCCAACGATAATATCTGAGGCCACAGTTTCACAGCTGAAGCACAGAGGAAGAGAACCGATGATCCAGAGATCTTGCCTCTACCGTGGTGGTGTTTTTCAGCCTGGCCTCTCCATTGTCATGGCAGCAGGTAGTCTAAGCACTTCCGCTTAATTTATTAAGTTATAAGTTAACCCCCATTTGCAAGAATGTTCTGGTCCAAGGCTTCCACTATATAAAGTGGAAAGTTTATAACCAAATCTGCATCAAATCAAGTAAAATTCCTTGTATAAATCAGTTTTAACAGTAAAGGCCCACTGAAAAATTCAGTGATGAGAGGGGAAGGAAGAATATTCCTCAAGCATAACTAAAAGCCAAAAAGGGATGATAGTTATTTTGGAATCCAAGTTTGGAAATACTCTTTACATTAAGGCTCTCAACCTATCTAGAAGGGCTTCTATAGGCAAAGAAAGTAAGTGACCTTTGGGAAACTTGAGTCCTTTTCAGAGGTCAGTCACTTTAAGATCTCTCCATGCTTCAGAAAAATAGCAAGAGCTTCCTCCCTCCCTCTAGCTAATAACTACACAATTTTCTCTGTGCTCTAAATACTGTACATATATCTATTGCAGCACTTATCTCATGAATCTCAATTAATTTTATTGAATGTTTATTTTCCCTCTGAGCTCCAAGTACAGAGAACAGTCTTATTCATTCATGGATTTTTAGCATCTAGCTTAGTGCTTAACTAGTACTTTTGTTAAGTTGTTCTTCCAAAAACAAACTCCAAATGCTCCTTGGCTCATGGCTCCTGAATCTCAGTTGATGTTTAAGAAATTCAAATAAATTTTAATACTGGATTTCACAAAATACAATTTACAAAGTAAAATGGAAGTTCTACAGATATCACATAGGCTCCCCTAACACCTTTTAGATCAATATTAATCTCCAATTGCCTTTATTAAATAAGCTCTTCCCAGTGTTTTGCATCCCAGTGCTGGCTTATGATGAAGTCTGTGGGTCTTTGGCAAGTGAGAGAAACGACAATGTAGTGTGTTTTTCCTAATGTTAAAAGTACTAAATTTTAAGGAGCTTTTTGAGATATTTTTTTCCTATTTCTCTTCTTGTATTTAAAAATATCTCTTCTTTTATGACATAAGGTGATAGTAGATGCTACATAAATGAAGCAAATGTTAAAATTAATCTTATTTGTGATTATCTTTTTATCTCACAGCACATTAAAAAATGACAATACCTTTATGGCACATCTAGGGAAGCACTATGTGGCATAACCATGACAAAGCGTCCTCTAGTGGTAAGTTGTAGGTATAAACTCTTACCTGCTGGAGTAATTTCTGAATTCAAGATGTTTACATAGGAAGTCAAATAAGCAGTGTTCAAATTTAACTTCAACTGTTGTCAATTTTTACATGATTCTTAAAAATGCTTAAAGTGTTTATCACCGTAAGAAATTTCCCACTATCAATATTTCACATCACACCTGTAACACACTGAAAAGCTCTATTCTACCATGCTGTTCAGGAAAAAAGGGCCTGTAGCCTGTTTACTAATCTTAGTTATATTTGCAATTAAAATGAAAGGGATGATTAACCTAAAACAATCTATATCCATGGTAATTAAATTGCAAACAATGCAAGGATCCACTGGGATAGTGTGTGTACGTGTGCATGCACATGGGCACACTCTCCTGTGCAAGTGTGTATGTGTGTGTGTGCATGTGTGTGTGCGTGTGTTGGGGAGCAGGGCTTTCTTATTACCTCTCAAGTCACACTAGTTTACAGTCTAGTTTATTTAAATCCTAAGTAAGACTTGTCTTGCTTTATACAGCAAACATCTGCTATATGAATTTCAAACATTCACATTCTTTAATCACGAGTAGCATATAAGTATTTTGCAGTGGCAGAAACAATTGGGAAGGAGAGGTGGTAAAATGCTGAGGTCAACATAAAACTGTTGGGACTAAGAACAGGGGAAAAAGTTTTCTTATTGATGTAATTAGATCCCAGGAAAGAGTACAGTTTACAAGCTAGAGGAGCTACTACATATACCTATGTCTGTGCTAATGTTTACTCCTATATAGTAAAGTTTGCAATGCCACCTCCCAGAAGCCTAGATCTGTATTATATGGCTGCTCAATGATTATGGAGCAATGTTTTCCTTCTTGGGTGCCTCTCTAGGTCACTGCTTTAATTTTAGCAAGTGTTCTGTTTTTTGCTACTGCCTGCTCAAGAAATGTAGTTACATCATCCTGGAGGGGCTACATTTCCCCACTGGTTTACTATGTATAGGGTGATAGATATATTTTCCTAATCAAACCAGGATCTCAGCTCTTATTTAAGCTTGCAGAGGCCCTTCCTGTTTGGGCTATTAGAAAATACACCCTTATCCTACTTTACTGCTAGTGCTATTCGCCATGAATCAATTCAATTTACTTAACCCTTGATGTTCCAATCTGCAAAAATGGAGCTGGCACTTGTTTACCAAGCACTGCCAACCAGCAAGTCTTCCTCAAGATTTTTTGTCAGGCCTTGCAAACTTTCCACTAGTTGTACTACCACTCTAAATAGCGCTCAGGAAAATGTGAAAGTCGTAACTAAATAACCCTTATATATATATTTTTGAAACATGGAAACAACATGCTTCACCTTTTAAAACGTGTTCTTTAGGGCTCCAAGTTTTTTTTTTTTTTTTAGTTTAGGGAGCTAAAAATGTATCATGTAAGGTTCAGTTATTTCATATAGTGTCAAGGTATGTTGAATTAAAAAACACAGTTTGTTAGGCAGGGATCAAATCTATAGGTGGCAGATACAGGCCAGGAGGGAGCTTCCTAGGGGTGGAGAAGCCAGGGACCAGTCAGGGGAAGGGACTGCAGGAAAACAAAGAACACCTGACAATCACGCATATCAATCATCTGGCAACATCCCACACCTCCCGTGAGCCCTCGCTTGGAGCAGGCCAGTGGAGGGAGGCCACCTGGAAGTCCTTAACGTCTTTCTCCACTTTCTCCGTACCTGTTTCATCATCTTTAAAATGAGGATAATAGTAATAACCCCATAGGATGCTTGTGTGGATAAATGAGATCATACATGTAAAGCTATTAGCAGAGTTCCTGACATGTAGTAAGCTTTCAACAAATATTAGCTATTGTTAGATTTGTGGCCGCTTTTTTTCCTGGTAGTCTCATAATTGTCAAGTACTTTTTAAATTGAGCCCCAGAGACTCCCCTATTACATTTCCCAATTTAATTGAACTTTAAAGTGCTATGTGTACTCATTATTACTGCCTTATTTTCTGTCTTGACTTAGGTTATGCAAGTATTAAAATAAAAGGTGAGGGTCAAAATCCTTTGATTTTAGGGCTTTTGCAGGGGATGCTAAGACTGGGGAAGAACAGTTCTAATTCTGGGAGGCCGCCTGTTGGGCAACATGGACCGCACCTTTCCTCAGACCAAACCCAGCGCCACTTGAGGAGTCCCAACTTCTAAGGTCACCTCTCCGAGATTGCCCTTTCTTCCTTCTCTGCGCCGGTCTCACGCTCTCCCTCGCCGCCCCTCTAGACCAGGTGGGGTTTCCTCCATCACGCTCCTAGGTTGGGAGGCATCAGGTCAGTCTGGTTTATATATTTTCTCGTCAGTATTTGGTCCTTTGCTCAATGCCTGGTCACCCAGGACGTAGGTTTCTGCCTAGCAGAACAGAGCTACCTACTGCAAGCACCTGTGTGAAGACCGGCGATCGCCGTGGTCACACTGAGCAACAAACTTTGAGGGCTTAACTGAAGCGCCGCTGCTTTGCTTTCTGGGAAATGTAGTATCCGTACTGGCCGCTTGTTTTCATTGCAAGGGCCGGCGGCAGCCGGAAGACTACAGTTCCCAGCATGCACAGGGGGAGAAAAGATGACCCGGGTCGACTGCTCCACGTGACCACCCACTATGGCTTCCCTGTGTCTGGGCGAGCTGTCTGGTGGTTCGGTGTGATTTGTTAGCCTTTTGCGGCAGCATATCCCTCTCACGATTTCGACATGCAAAAAATAAAATCTCTCATGACCCGCCAGGTAAGTTGCAGCAGATAAAGCAAAGTTCTCCCTCGTTTAGGCTGGGAGAGGAGCCGAGATACTCTGTCCCCAGGTCGCGGAGGTTGGAGACCTAAGTTATAGGTAGTGGCAGGTGTTAGGGGGACTGGGAAACCGAGGCACACCCTGGAAAACTAACTTGAGCCTCCTGGATGGGAACCCTGCTCAAGCGGGTATCGGCCTCCTAAAAACATAGATCACTGAGGGAGTCAGAGGCTATCTTAGTCTCCTCTCCTCTTTTTGCCATTTTTCCGGGACAGCCCCAGCTGCCTTGGTCCCTACATCCAGGCTGTCTGTTGTCTGGGAGCAGGTGGCCTGGTACAGAGGTGTGGTTCGTGCAATAGAGATGACTTGCAAAGAGTGAAAGGAGTAGATGGTTTGAAGATAGAACTGGTAGATTTTGGGCAAGTCCCCAAACCTTGTAGCTTAAGTTTTCAGTTGTGAAAATAAGAATAATTATTTTTGTTCATTCTGCCTCACAGTTCTGAGAGTCATCAATAAGCTAAAATATGTGAAAACTCTTTGTGGAATGCTGGTTTTTAGAAATTATTCTTGTCATGTCAAAGTAATGATCTTTTACTCTTTGCCAGAATGATAATTCGTGAGTAAAAGCTTTGGCTGTTTCACAACCTGTCTCATAAATATTAGGGACTTCCTAATAATGCCTCAGCTTCCTTCAAGCAAGAAGCAGCAGAAATTTCCTTTTGTGTACTTATTGATCATGACGTGGTTTTAGATAACTTTATTGATTTCAACTCTAATGTTTCACTAGAATTGGCCATTCCTTATTTTAATATGAAAGAAACATAATTTATGTTAGAGTTTTAAGTTAACAGAACTTTAACAAATTTAGAGAATGTGGAGGATAATTGTTTGGCGAAAGGTTCATTTGTGAGTTTTTTCTTGTTGATTAAAAAAAATTCAAATAAATTTAAATCCCAAATTCTTATTTGAGAATTCAAAATTTGAGGGATATATGAACAGGTTACAAATTGTATATTTCTGTTGGACAATACACATATGATCTTTACATGATTATTTTACTTCCATCAGATTATATTGTAATAATAGAATTAAAATGTCCTGTGAATAATAAAAAGATTTAAGTAAGTGGGTATTAACATTTGATAATCCCTCACATTTGTTGAGTACTGGTGTTATGCTTCCTACTGCTTCTTACTTGAGAATGAGTTTGGGTCCTACTCCATCATGTGGTAGCTGTGTGACCTTGGACAAGTTACATAAGATTTAAAATAGGAACAATAAAGTGTACCTCATGGGGTTAGCCTGATGATAATGTTTATATGATATAATGAAGTTAAAGAGATTAAATAAAGACATTAATACAGTTCCTGAGCATTTTCAAGGACATGCTTAATCATAGAGCCATTGCATTGGCTACACTGATAGTGGGAAAGCAGGGGAACTGGAAGCAGGATGTTTCAGTAATTCAAGTAATAGATAGTTTCATGCTGACTTTGGTATCTGTTTGATTTTAAAACAATGTATACTTTTGTATATTATACCACTAACACCCCTAAACTGCCTTTGGAATGCTGAATTTGGACTTTTTGCATCAGCTAAATTGGGTGCTCTCATGTTTGTTACACAGTTCAGTGTAGTCAACATTGTCGTAGTAGTACAGCTTCTGTTGTTGATTTTTTTTTTTTACCTTAGTTTGTAAAACTGAGTAGGAGAGAAAAAAATATGAAATTCCAGATAACCGTTTCTGTCTCCTAAATGTAATGAAATTGTGCTGAAAATGGTAACCCTTAAGCCTCAATCAGTTGCTTATTGAATTTGAGCAGGTCAAATCTGTGTTTCAGTGGAATGGGAAAAAAAAAACCAAAACACTGAAGAACACATGTGAAAAGCTGGAACTATACTGTGTAAAAGATTACCCTAATTATATATGTTTAATATGTTTATGGATTGATTTCCACGTATTCGATTACTATTAATGCACAATTTGTGAATCTGTGAGGTGTGAAAATAGGGTGCTACCAAGAGGGTTATATTGGGGCTTTAATTAATACTATTTATTATTGGGTTAAATGTAATAGGATTACAAATAAATTATACACAAAGATGTTTCTTTTTTTTTTGAGGCTACAGAATACGATAATGATATATGTTGAGTTAATGTGGAGAGATATGAGATTAAAGTGTATGAAATTTAGATCTTTCAGCATTTCAGTCGTCCTCGGATCTTTGTTTGCAAAAGAGTGGGAGGGAGGGTGGAAGGGCTGTGTTAGCTCTCTTTACTTAGCTGAGATCTGTTGTTCATGTTTCTTCATTATGCTGGCCTCTGTTCTTTCAGTGCATTCAACAAATGTTTATTGAGCACTATGCTCCAGGCGCTATTCTAAGTTTGGGGGATGCAGCAGTGAACATAATAAACAAGTACTAAGCATGGCATGGTGATAAATGCTTTAGAGGAAAAGAGGATAGGGAGTCCTGGGAGTTGTTGGTAATTTGGGGGTCACTTATAATTTAGATAGGGCGGACATGGAAGGCCTCTCTGAGAAGGTAATAAAAAAGACCTGAAGGAGGTGAGGAAGTGAACCATGTGGATATCCGAGAAGGAACATTCCCAGTGGAATGAAAAGCAAATGCAGAAACCCTCAAGCAGCAGCATGTTTGAGGAACTGCAAGGGGCCAGTGTGGGTGCAGTGAAGTGAGTGAGGAGAAAAGTAGTAGGAGATGAGATCAGAGACCTGAGGGCAGGAAACTAGATCCTGTAGAACCTTATGGGTCATGGCAAGGCCATGGCTTTTATTTTGAGTGAAATGCTAAGTAGAGAAATGATATAATCTGACATAACACTTCAGAAAGACCATTCTGACTCATGTTTTAAGAATTGATTGAAAATGAGAAAAGAGCAAAAACAGGAAGAACAATAAGGAGGTTATTGCAGTAATGTAGGTGAGGTGAGAACGGGCACTAGAGGTGGAAGTGTTGAATATCTTATAAATCCATCAGGTTTCCTGATGGATTGGATTTGGGCTGTGAAGGAAAGAGAAGCATCAAGGATGACTCCAAATGGTTTGGCCCTAGCAAATTGGAAGAGTGGAATTGCCACTTACAGGGGTGGATAAATCTGGAGGGACAGATTGAGGGAAGGGAGACAGTTTTTAGACTTGTTAATTTAGGAGCCTCTTAGATATTTAAGTGGAGGGATAAAGTAGGCAGTTGGCCAGATTACTCTGAATTTATGGGGAGAAGTTCAGGCTGTAGGGAAAACTTTGGGAGTTACAAACATGTAGATTACATATAAGCTGGTTAACATCACCAATGAATGAGTGTAGATATACAGAGTCCAAGGTTGGAGCTTTTGAGAATTCAGTATTAAAAGGTCAGGGGGAAGAAGTGGATCCAGCAAAGCATAATGAGAAGCAGCAGCAAGTGAGATAAGAAGTTTTCAGCATCACAAATGGCACCTGGCATATAGCAGATGCTCAATAAATATTTGTTGAACCAATGTTGGATAAAGAGAACAATCAAGAAAAGTGGCTGGCTGGGCGCGGTGGCTCATGCCTATAATCCTAGCACTCTGGGAGGCCGAGGTGGGCGGATTGTTTGAGCTCAGGAATTCGAAACCAGCCTGAGCAAGAGCGAGACCCCGTCTCTACTAAATCGGCCAACTAAAAATATATAGAAAAAATTAGCCGGGCATGGTGGCACCTGCCTGTAGTCCCAGCTACTCGGGAGGCTGAGGCAGAAGGATTGCTTGAGCCCAGGAGTGTAAGGTTGCTGTGAGCTAGGCTGACGCCATGGCACTCACTCTAGCCCGGGCAAAAGAGTGAGACTCTGTCTCAAAAAAAAAAAAAAAAAGTGGCTCCTAGAAACCAAGAATTTAAAAGAGGAGTGTGTGATCAGCTGTGTTAAATGCTGCAGATTGGCCAAGTAAGGTGAGAATGATAATGAGCTTTTGGACTGGGAAGCTTGGAGGTCCTTGATGACCTGACATTGGCAGTTTTCATAAAGTGGTGGGGAAGAAAGCCTGATTAGGGTGGGTTCAAGAGAAAATAAGGGGAGAGAAATTAGGGACTGGATGTAAACTCTCTTGAGTTTTGCCAAAATCAGAAGGAAATACAAATCATCACAGGTGTTCCTTTTGATTGACAGGACTTAAGTTGCTGGTCTCATAAATGGAAAATGAGTATTCATGTAGACAAAATCATAGTAGCCTGAAGTGTTAATCTGATTTGTGCAAAGAAATAGAGTGCAGAGGCAGATGTTATTTATGCTGAATTTTGTATAAATTTAAACTGGGGAAATTGCGGGGAGGTAGCTAAGCTCCCAGCAAAAAACTGGATCCCTCTGGTAGAGTTGCAAGGGATAAGAAAATAATAGAGAAAAATGGAAAATAAAAGAAATAAAAGAATACACAGAGACAAAGATATAGTTTTATACGTTTATAAAGATTATAGGCAAAGCGGGATCTCAGGGGGCCTAGACCTTCTCCGTGGGTCTCAAAAAAGGCCCGAATGAGGTCTTACATGGTAACTTACAGGGAATAGTGAATAATTGCCAGGGGTAACAGATGTACATAACAGCAGATAGTTCCTCTCAGGTTAACAGATTTTCAAAAGGCTTCTACAGATTCTTTAATTCTATCTACGTGAGCAAACGGTTACAAAATCTTTCAAAGGTTAACTTCTAAGTTCTAAGGTAAGTTTATCACTTAACAGAGGGGTTAAACAGAGATATGTTGGCTCCATGTTTATTAGGTTATTGTGAATGGAGACAAGTAGTCTGGAGTGTTTAAATAAGAGCTTTTCTTTTAGCCATTCGGGAAGCTGTCTGTTCCGGGGGGGCACTCCATTGTCAGCTCTCAGCCTGTAGTTTTTAATAGATTCACTTTGCTTTACAAAGCAAATCCAAACCTTTAGGTCTGAGAAATGTGGTGCCTTGTAGAATACAGCCGCTACTGTCTTTCAGAGATGCCCTTCCGAGTGTAACAGCATTTGAAATGCAAACCAGCATGTTCACATATTCCTTCAGGGCAAAGCTCTGCAAAACTCCTAAGACAAATCCTGTCTACAAACACGTTTAATATTAATTCATGGAGCAAGAGGAAATTATCAAAATAAAAATCAAATACAAAAGAAAATCAAATAATGGTTAACAATTACAATGACTTCATGCTTTGAAACATGAAGATAAAATAAAAATGACTTCACATTTGTTAGTAGAAATTTATAAAATTGATAAAGGGTTAAAGATCTATATTCTTAAACTACATTTAGGGATCAGATGTTGTGCTTTGAGATGTTTATGTAATTCTTCATTTGTGTTTTGAAGAGAGAACAACATTTCTCTGTGATAATAAAAATGGTAAGAATAATGGTTAATACTTAAAGAATGCTTGTGATGTACCAGACACTATTTTTGGTTCCTCACAAACATTATCTTCTTTACTCCTTATAACAGCCTATGAGTTATTACCCTAATTAAAATATAATGCGTAGGAAGTGTAGTTAAGTTGTTCAAGACCACAGAGAGAAAGTCAGGGAACAAACCCAGGTGGTCTGCTCCAGAGCCTCTTCCTGGAAATCACTCCATTCCCCTGCCTCCTAACACATACAAGGGGTTTCCAATTTTTAACTTGTATTTTGTGCATTTGTCAGAAAGTTGCCATGTATTTATATTGAATTGTTGTGTGTGTGACTAATTTGGAGGTAAAAGCTTTTTCTAGATGTTTGGTATGTAACACTTTTACATTTCAATCATTAATTTCTCTACTGAGTAGCTCTGGGGAAATAAAAAATTAGACATGCTATATTCCTCCAAGGATTCTGTTTAGATTAAACAAATTTATACAAATGGACCCTGATTTATGATGGTTCAACTTACAATTTTTTGACCTTACAATGGATCTATTGGGGGGGTATTAAATGCATTTTCAACTTACAGTATTTTTGATTTATGATGTGTTTATTGGAACATAACCCCATTGTAAGTTGAGCATCTGTACTCTTAATGTTTGTTTGTTTAAAGGACATGGCAATTACACTTTTAAAAAGATATTTTAGGAGTGGTCATGATTTTCAGTCAAATTATGAAGCTTTAATGTGTGTATATGTATGTGTGCGTATGTATCATGTATATAGAAGTTTAGTTATATAACCCAACTTTGCCTTCTCCACCACTTTTGTTGCTGGGCCCTCATGACTATTGGTGAGAAATTGAGACAGGGAAGAACAAATGGCTCAAAACTAGTTACAAACTTTTTTTCCCCCTTATGCATTGAAAAGCATATTAAACCTTGTTAGATTTTTTTTTTTATTTCAGCATATCATGGGGGTACAGATGTTTAGGTTATGTATGTTGCCCTTGCCCCCCCCTCCCCTAAACCTTGTTAGATTTTTTCTTTTTCTAGCAAGCATTCTTGGAAATTTTATTTTGCAGTCAATTGCATGTTTCCATGGGGACAGTGTGCTACTTAGTTGGAGACTGGAGTCTGATAAATGACTTCTAGCTAATAATTTACTCATTTTTTGTTGTTTACTCTGTTCCTGGAACTTTGCTAGCCACTGGGCTGTAGAAGCTTAAGACTTGGACTTACTCTTTCCTTGGGACTTAAGATCTGGCAGAGGGAGATACAGATATTTAAAATTTAAGACTTTCAGAATCCCTTAGTTGATGTGAATATAAAAAATACATGATATCAAAGAGCTAAAGAAGAGGTAGAAGGCTGTGAGGCTTGAGATTTAAATCTTAATTTATGCAACATGAATTGGATACATTGATGAGAAATAATCAGGTAAAATGAAGGGATTACTTATGTATTAACTAAACAATAAGCATCATTTAAAAATCTTTGATTAGCTCAGTTGGGTAGTATATTGTATTTGTGAATCAAAATACTATTGCTTAGATCTCTTTCCCAGGTGAATTTGGTGATGATTAATACATAAGTACTTTTCTTTTATAGAATGCTTTTTGTCACGTAAGTTTCTTTTCTTTTGGTTGTTTTAAATCACGGTTAGACTAGACTATCACCATTAGTTGTCAAGGTGCCATATAATAGTTTTATTTTAAAATACCAAAAGTGCATCCTTACCTGATTTAATAATAGTGCTATATGTATTAAGTGATGATTGTATTTAGAATATATGTTCTGTCTATTTTGAAACAAGAAAATTTATATTTTTAAAATGGTCATTTCTGTTTCAGTAGGTGTGTGCTATACTTTTATAATTCTTCAGCATAATTAAAATTGTCCTTATCTTATTATTTTTTAAGGGTCTGAAAAGCCCTCCGGAGAGCCTTGGTGATCTTGGTGCCGTTGAGAGTCTCCGGGTCCCTGGAAAGGTATTGATCTACACGTGTGAGCGTGACTTTTCACTTAGGAAAATATTATTGCCTCTGGATAATAATCGATTCACAGAATCTTTTCTTCCCCACAGGCAGATTGCTGTATGTTAAGCTAGGTAAATTTTTATAATACAGTAGGTGTAGGGCTCCTTTTTGCTTTCATTACTCAATGGGATGCAGTATGATTCATTATAGTCAAGCAGAAAATGTAAAATTGATAAATTTAGAGTTTATTGTATCAAATTCTTAGCCTGAAGGCAGTTTATATATATGTGTGTATATATTTAACTTATTGATTTATCTGCTGTCATTTGGAGAAATAAAATGAAATAATTGATTACTAACTTTTTATACTCTAACACTCTGAGCCAAAAATCATGGTTAATTATATTTTTGTTGCAGCCAGCAGAGATTTTTGAATAATCAACTAAAACATACTGTTTATACTGAATTGTATAACTTATACTAAATTGTAGATATTTTAGATTTTAATCCCCTGATATTCATGTGAACTTCTCAGTTTACAGATTTAATATGGGTTATTTGGAAGCTAGCAGGCTTCCCCTCAGGAGAATTATGAACCATTGCCGTATACTTGCTGCTTCTCTGAGTGTTGCTGCTTGGAGCTGCCTATGTGAATGGGAGCTCCATCACAGATTAAGCTGGCACTTCTGAATGTCTGCTCTTGTAATTTTTAATTTGAGGATCATATTTGGAAGTACTGTTTGTTTTCCGTGTTTGGCATTTAAATACAGAGAATTTGCTTCTCTTGATCAGCAAACTAACACCACTCTCCTAACACCCCAGGGTCAGCTGCTTAGAAGGATGATTTCTCATCTCATTCAGGCACCTTACCCCCTAAAGTGAATTTTGTATTCACTGCATTGCCTTTTTATGGGTTAGACCCAAACCTAATGTCTAAATACAATAAAATTTTAACCAACCCTTTTGCATGAAGTAGTACAGACGAAAAAATGCCTTACAAAAAGGCATTTCCAATAGTTTTATACCATATTATTAAAGATTATTGACTGTGATAAAATCAGGAAATAAGATATAGTCATAAATTCTAGTTGACAAATAATTCTCTTTATTTCTTTGACTTAAGAAAAAAAATTACCGTGCATTATGAACATGCCTTGAGTTAGACTCCATTGTATATTTCAGAATCAATGTCAGATTGATGAGTTGCTTATTATTTTATTAATAAACCCTTTCTGTTGTCCTTAAACCAGGAGCCTGGGTGTTTTTCCAGTAGTGGTAGGTAATGAATTTATGATGATGTCATCACACAGTCATCTTATTAACTTTCCACCCTAGCCCCATCAGTCACAAGTGCTGTGTACTTCTAAGGTAGCTGGCCCTGCGTAGCGTGGCCAGTCTGGGATCACAAGGTCAGCAAATGTAAATGGTTCAGGTGAAGATTAATCCTGGGGCATTGGTCTGTTTGGCACATGTTAATAAGCTAAGTTATTTAAATTGTAAAACTTATAATAATAAAATAGGTATTAATGCTGTAAGCTTACATTTAACCTTACACTAAAAAAGGCTTAAAAGCTTCCTTCTTGTGCCTGTTTGTTCTCCCTGTGTTTTCCTTGCAACATCACAAATGCTGGAGGGTGAGCAGGGCTGCTGCCTCCTTCTCTCTGGGTGGTTTTGAGAACATAAGAGTTGCTGGGTCCAGAGAGTCGCAAAGCTTCAGTTAGTAGACTGAGTCTGTTATGGGTGAGGTTTGCAGAAATTCCCTACACAGCATACCTTGGGATAACTTTAATGCTGAGTATTTTTCACAACTTAGATGTTACTTTATACTTAGATCGTGCACATAAATTTTAAATTATTTTTATGCAATCGCTTTAAAATTAATGTTGCAGATAGTGCTTAATGACCTGAAATTTGATGTCATCAAAATGATCATTCAAATTTTTCAAATTATTAAAAGCATTTCAACAAAATGGAAAATATTAATCTGAAATGATTGTTTTAAAATAACATTTGCTTTTACTATAAAAGTAATATGTAAGTGAACAGAAAACATGGTAAACAGAAAAATGTACCTAAAAAAAGAAAAATCACAAAAATCACCAGCACAGTCAAGGTTAACATGGCCTTCTGGTCTTTTCTCTGTGCATGTTCAACAAATGTATTGAACATCTGTGCTAGATACTCTGTAGGGACTGGCAATACAGCAGCGAAAAGACAAAAGGTCTTTCCAAAAGCCACGACTTTCCTGTTGTCAGGGAGCTTACTTACATTCAAGTAGGGGGAAGGCAGACAGTAAACAAAGAGATTGAAATTATAACAAATACTATGAAGGAAACAGGATAATGAGATAAAGTCTGTGAAGCTCAGGTTTATTTTACATGAAGTAGTCAGTGTGGGTTCCTCTCCCCTCGTTTTTTTCAAATGGTATTATCCTTAGAAATTATTTTGAAGCTTGGGTTTTAAAATTAGTGATATATATATATTGCATAGGAAATGTTCACAATATGTTACTAGGTTTAACAAGTAAGCTACCCTTGAGTTTGGCTTAGGTAGGTGCTTTTTGAACTTAATTTATGCTATTTAAGTAATCATTGTAAATACTTGTATGAAAAAGTTTTTAAACATTGACTTTATTTAATAGCTCTGCCTCACTCGTAAGTATAAGTATTAATACAACCTTTTTAAAAAAAGATATCCCTGGTCTTCGGGAATGGGTCCATTTCTTTTTCTAGTCATACATAATGTCTTTTGAAGTTGGGACAAAGAATTGAGATTTCAGTGGGATTTTCAAGAATGAAATAGGTTAGCTTGGGTTGTGTTACATGAAAAGGTTCTATTATAAAGGATAAGTAGGAGGAAAATATTAGGATGAATCATATGAAATGACTATTTACGTTTAAAAGGTCAAATATTGGCAGATTTTATGTGGTTCAATTTATTAGAAAAGGGAGGATAGTAAGGGAGAACTGAAGAAGGGCATGTAGGTGTAGCCAGAGGGTATTGTTTATTTTATTTTTTATTTTTTGAGAACTATATAAATTCAAAGTGGGAAGAAACTTTAGAAATTATATGGTACAATTTCCACGTTTTATAGACAAGGTGACACCCATTTTAAGAGGAGGGATGTGAGTTAAATTGTGTATACTGGAAATTTGGAATTTTGGTGGATAAAATAGTAGAAAAAGGTAGAAAAAAATTTTAAGATTCTTTTCAGAACTTGCTAGAGGAAAGAAAACTTCGAGACAAATTTCAGGGATCTTAGTTTAAAAGTTGAGTGACAGGGTCACTGGTGCTCGAACGTTGCCACGCATTAGAATAGCCAGTATTCAAACCATAACCCATTCCAGTGAAATCACAATGTCAAGGTGGAGCCAAGTGTCAGCAATTTTTAAAGATCCCCAGGTGATTGCAATGTTGAGCCAAGTTTGGGAACCACTGGCCAAACTGACAACATGATCAAGAATAGAGAAATGGGAAGTTTAGGAACTATTCTAGAAAAAATTTCAGAAGTTTTACTGACAATTTTTGTAGGATAAAGTAGAATGACCTGAAATTCCAATCTTGAGAAATGTATTCTGTTATATTTCAAATTAGTGGAATTTTCATATAGAGGAAAGGATATAAGAAATTAGATAGTATATACTGACTAAATTTTTTTTCCATTTAAATGTGAAAGATTTTTTTACTTAATTGGTTATAAGAATTATGAATTAAAGACCAGTATTTATTGTAATATATGATAGTCATAATAGCCACAAGGTTATTAATCATAGAACTTACTGAGACTGTGTTTGAGAGTATTTGTTGAACCCTGATTAAAAAATAAAAATACCAGTATTCAGAACCTTATAAATCTACGTCTAGACTTCTAATAAACACTTTCCATAGTGGCTTCATATTACAAACCTGAGAAACAGTACTGATAGTAATACTGTTTTATGAATTTTTACTGAAATACTGCCTCCTGAGAGTATTCTTTAAGGATAAGGTTCAGGTTTTTTTTAAGGTCTTGATTTAATTAATTCGTAAAAACAAATAGGACTCAATTAAGTTTACTATTAATGTGATTAGGTTTACTATGCCTTTGTGTTTTTTCATGAAAGTAAGATATAGGATGAGGCAACAAAAGGAATTTCTGTTGCAGTCAAAATTTGAGAATCTATTTATCTAAATATAAGAAGGTATTTTTCTTTTTATATTTCATCCATTCAACAAATATTTATTGAGTGCCTACTCTGTAGCATTTCTATTGTATAACATTCTAGGAGTTTGGGCAGAATGTTTTCTTTAGTTTCAAGTACTTCTGTGAAATCCGATGAACAGATTTGACTTGACTTCTTAGCATCAGTGAAAAGAATTCTAAAACCACACACTAACTGCAGTGCCTAGTTTCCAGAGCATTGCCAAGTATGTGGAAAGTGTGCTGGAGTAACAGTCAGGAGACCTAGAGTTTTCCTTAAGTGCTTGTGGCTAACAATATTTAGCTGTTTTCTTTTTAACCATTAATGAAATTATGCTTCTCACGTCTTCATATGCTTTGAGACTCCAAATCCTTCTTTCATGGCAAAGCATTTAAGATCATTCATAGAGTACATTTGGCAAACATTTATGAAGCCAAGCAGTTACTAATCGTCGAAGATAAAAAGAAGTATGAGAGTCTATTCCTCCCTCAACTGTGTGGGGAAGACGAGCAAAAATAGATAATTGCAGAGTAGCATAAGCACAGTAGAGGTATGTACAAAGGTACGCACAGTGGTAGCACAGCTAGGAGAGGAGTAGGAGGAGGTAGAAGTGAGTGCAGGGTCTTTTAGAATTGGTGATTAATTTCTTTCAGAAAGATTACAGGTTTATGGGGTGAATTGTTGAGTGGAGGCTGGAGACCAGGATACTGATTGAGAAGATAAGAACATGAGGTAAAGGAAGTGGAGAAGAGTTAAATTTGGGGGACATTTTATAAGCAGCATTTAGGATTGAGGATGTTATTGAATGTGGAAGGCAAAGGAAGCTGTGGA